GGTTAATGGCCTCTTCGTTTGCGAGGACAAGGAGGGCGCACAATTCCTTGTCTCCCCAGTTGCTCATCTTTATAGTGTCTGTCAGGTTTGTGTTTCCCTCTTGCTACTAGCTGCTCGCTAATTCCTGCTATCAGCTGTTTCCTGTTTATCCACCGCCAGTGGCTCGCACGTGCGGCGTCATCAACAGCTCCTCCCACAAGTCTTCAACAGCACCTCCCGTGGCGGAAGGGCGCCTCGGTCTTTTTAGACCAACAGTGATCCACCAGTATGTTTACTCCTACGAGGCGGAAAATTGGGTGCCTCAGATCAACTCGCCAATCCAGCTCTGTGTGTCTAAACGCTCGCAGCTTGCCGGCAAAACGGCCCAACATTCGTGGAAAATCTGGCAGTGTAAAAGGGGCTACAGAGACAGTCTCAGTGTCACGCATTAGACTACAACTACCAAGAAGAACGGTGATGCACTGTGATCCACCTCACACACAAAGTAGCAGCGCAGCGCTGGATTGCACGTGTGCTGAGGTCATTTCATTCATCTCACAGACTGGTTTAGCGTGGCACATGCAACATATAGACCGATGTCACACTGTAGACTAATGAACAGACAGATTAAACAGAGAAGCAGCTCTGTGTCTCTCTGAGTGTTGATGGAGAACTTGTGAGTGAGTGAGTGAGTGAGCGGAGCTGTGAAGAGAGTGTGACAGAGGAGAGATGAACACTGGTATGTGTCATGTAACGCAGCTTGACCCTATATCGATATAAACAGTGTTGTCAAAATTTATATCTTGCTTGAAAATATATCGATATATCGTTTGTAGTCGTATCGCCCAGCCATACTTGATTAGATGTAATGTTAGATCTCATATGAGCTGGGTGTCGTACATGTTGAGTTCCTTAACATGTCCACCCTCAGGGGACACTAAAAACGTATTGACGGGATCAGCAGACAACAGCTGTCGACTGTGGGACTGTGAGACAGGTATGTAAAAACAAGCTGCAGTCCAGGAATGAAATGTGTGTGTTTCTTGTTTCCCCGGTCAGTTAATTATAAGACTTACCAGATCAAGCTGTAGTTTGAAATTGTCAATCCACTCACCCTCCTGTCTCTGTCCCTGTGTGCCGCACAGGTAAACAGCTGGCCCTGCTCAACACCAACTCTGCTGTGCGAACGTGCGGCTTCGACTTCAGCGGCAACATCATCATGTTCTCCACAGACAAGCAGATGGGTTACCAGTGCTTCCTGAACTTCTTTGACCTGAGGGATCCACAGCAGATCGGTACACAGCACACGATACACGTAGACGCCAAATACTGCCACTTCCATTAGTTTACCAAGAAGTTGCTGATAAAAGAAACATGCCAAGAACATCCAGGTTTTTTTATTTGGGGTCTATAAGACCATTAAATATGCACTGTATGAATTTGACATCAATGTTAAACTTGTTAAATCACATACTGTCAAGCTACAATTGAACATTCCCCTTTTGTCATTGTGTGCCCTTTAGAATTAACTTGTGTTGCTTTGGTTTATAATATTAGGAGAAAGAGTTAGATACAGTGTTTATGGATGCAAATGCATAGAAGATGATTGTAAATCAGTCTTCTTGTAAGTGTCAAATTATCGTTTTTGTTTTTTTTTGTATTGACAAAGTAAGAACACTACTTTTTAGAGCTGACCCCGACTAAGACTGTTCCTAGTGGACCAACAGTCCTCATCAGGGTCCATCAGTGGACTAGTCTCCTGCATGTTTCTGATATGAATGTAATGATTAAATGATATATTTTGGTGGTTTGAGTTGAGGTACCAGCCCTGGAAATTGACCTGACTTGTGTCTGACTGCTGAGCGTGGACACTTCCTGTGTCTGTCCTTTCACATTAAAGTCACACATGATCCAGTCATATAGGTTTTGATTTATTTTGACAAGGCGCTGCGCCTATTACTCCTGATAGAGTTTCAAGTTTTTTTATTTCTACGACTAAGCCACCAGTGAAATCTTACCGACTGATGACCTTTCTGGTTGTCTAACGTTTGGTCGACTATGAGGGGGGCAGTCCTACTTGTGATTGTGTCATGTTTGTAAAAAAATACAATTTATTTTGAAGTGCAGTGAATTTCCAGCACTGAGCTTTTAATATTGAAGTGCCGTTTCCTGCTGTAGAGTGAGCGACTAACGGACAGCTACTTAACAGAGACAGCAAACTAGCTTGACGACATGGCCAAACTCAAGTATGACGCTGGATGTATTAAACTGCATGGACCTTGAACTAATGACGAAAGAAAAATCTGGACCAGTTGGGAACCACTGATCTAGACCATCTTCCATTATTCACTGTCAGTGGAGCAGCTCCTTCATACCCTATGACCTCACAAATTAGAGTTTTCGCACTTTAGTTTTTGGATTCAGCAGAGTTGTTCATGTTCACTAATATTTCTGGACCGTCCCAGACCACAGGGATAACATGTGAATTTTAGTTCCCCTTTAACTGAACATTTTCTGGTTCGTCTGCTGACGCTCCCTTTGCCTTCACACAGAACTGATTCATACTGTATTCACCTTTTGGCAGTCGTCCTGTCTGAGAATTCATTGATCAGCAGGACTATGTCTCCTCTCAGAGGTACGCTGAGTGAGTCTGTCCCTCTGTCTCTGCAGAGGACAACCAGCCGTACCTGTCAGTACCCTGCAGTGACCACAAGATCACCAGTGCTGTGTGGGGACCCCTGGGAGAGTTTGTCATCGCTGGTCACGAGAACGGAGAGTTCAACCAGTTCAGCGCCAAGGTTGGAGACACACGCTCTTACTGGGAACATACGGGAATATAATAAATGATCATGGATATTTAGCCCCAAACAATAAATAACCTAGAGTGGAGAACACCTTCTTAGTTTGCCTGTAAAGATGTCTAAACCTATCGCAGTAACTGAAAATATAAATGTGAGATTTCAGACAAAGTTTCTCTTGAAGAGAATCTTTAAAGTGAAATGTTGTGACTGTGTTATCTGTGGGCAGTCTGGAGAGATCCTGAAGAAGGCCAAAGAGCACACCAAGCAGATCAACGACATCCAGACATCAGTGGATCTCACCATGTTCATCAGTGCCTCCAAGGACAACACAGCTAAGGTACGATGTCTGGGTCCTCTCCTGGTCGTTGCAGCTATAAACCAGACAGCATGTGAAGATTTGTGTCACCACACCGCCTGCTGTTTGATGTAACAGTTTGTCTTTTTCCTCTCAGCTGTTTGACTCCACTTCTCTGGATCACATCAAGACTTTCAAGACAGAGAGACCGGTCAACTCAGCTGCCATCTCCCCCATCATGGATCATGTAAGTGAAGACTTGTGTAGTAACAACAAGTGAAGGCGCTGAATCCTACAACCCGACGACTTTTCAAGCAGGTTTACTGTCACGGACGAGTTTCCAACGTGGGAATAAAATCACGACAGTTGATCTCATGTGATCCTGACCGTTTGATGTAAAGTGGTCATAAAACTTGAACGAGTTGTCTGAAGCTGAATTTACATCTGTGCGTCAGCTCTATGCAGACCCTACGCCGCAGCCTACACTGTTGTGAGCGTTTATATTTGTGTGGTGGTGTGTCTGTGTCACTCTGCAGTTACACCTCAAAAACACTAGTCGGCGGTGGAGGTTTATGTGAAGTGCTGTAAAGTTTAGTTGATTCAAAACACACATTAAACACACATTAAACATGGCTTAATAGAGACAGTTTCAAACACAAGTACACAAATCAGCTTCACTATAACTCACAGCATTCACAGACAAACACTTGTCTTTATCTGGACACATTTTCCCCACAAATACAACATGCTAACGTTGTTAGCACAAGCCTATGGCATTTTACATTGGATAAATTAGCCTAGCAGCTAGCAGAGATTTCCTCTGCTCATATGAAGCCAGGATAAATCACACACAAGACTTAAAATGCTGTTTTAGTGGAGGCTTTATTGTCTTCACAATTTATTGTTTCTTAGCTGTGAAATTAAAGTAAATCAAAGCTTTGTTTCCACTGAGGGAAATGGTTTCAGCTTACAGAGATAGACAGGAGGTCTGCGTTGCTGTGACTTGGAGTTACATTACTGGGGAGGTGTAGTCAGGCTATGGCGTTGATACGGTGTTGATTTGACACAGAAGTATAAGTCCCACATTAAGTCAGTCTTTTTCTTGTCTTGACATTCTGATAAAATCAAACCTGTTTATTATTACTGTAAATTTTAATCTTGGCTCATGTAAATTCAGTTCAGTGACCTGAACGTGTCAACAACCAATAGGGTCGCTCCAGGGCCCTGCACGGGACAGATTTCTTAATCTTGTTACCGCCCGCTCCCACAGCTCGCGTCTATGGCCCGGAGAGGGGAGAGGGACGGTGATGGCTGTTTACATGTGTACATTAGTTACAGTTCCAACACTAATCTACACAAACAGCCAAAGTTAATCACAGTTTTTGTCACGTTTAAGCTGTCGGTCTTTTCAAAGTCGTCCATTGTACGGTAGATAAAACTGTGTCTCATCCCAAACTTTTGACACTTGTGTTCTGTGCGTGTGATTCAGGTGGTGATGGGAGGTGGACAGGAGGCCATGGAGGTCACAACCACCTCCACCAGGATCGGCAAATTTGAGGCCAGGTGAGTTAAAGGGTGTCGGAGGTTCACAGCAGAGGACAGAAGAGAACCTCCTCATATTAGTAATAAACATGCAGTACTTTTAGTGTTGAGGGGGCGGGGCTCCAAATGTGCTTGGTCACATTTCCACTGCGCCGCTGACTTTTCAAAATGAGGCGCTAACCTGCTTTTTCCTCTCCACTCAGGTTCTTCCACGCTGCCTATGAGGAGGAGTTCGGCAGAGTCAAAGGTCATTTCGGCCCCATCAACTGTGTGGCATTCCACCCTGACGGCAAGAGGTAAGAGACGGACTCACCTGGTAACACACCGCTCTGTGAGGCAGGCTGGTCAAAAGTTCTCTGTGTGCATCGCTAACTTTTTTCTGGTGCTTATCGTTTACAGTTACAGCAGCGGAGGAGAGGACGGATACGTAAGGATTCATTACTTTGACCCTCAGTACTTTGACTTTGAACTGGAGGCGTAAACAGTCAGGCCCCCCGACCCCACAGCTACAGCTGACATCGCACTCAGTCCAGTCAGGAAGAAGGAATAACAGACTCAAGTGCATTTACAGTGTAAACACCTGGCCTCAGTCCCTCCATCTGAACTGATCTGAAGTCAGTGCACCTCTCACAGATTACTTCAAATAAAGGTAAAGACGTCACGAGAGTTTCTGGTGTTTCTGAAGTCATTTTTCTAACATCACTGGAAACTGTATCGGTGGGATCACAAGCAGTTTTTGTACCCTGGACCTGCGGAGCCTCATGACTGGACTTACAACCCACACTCCCCGATTCCCAAGTCTATTTAATCTGAGTTATTGATTTAGTTTCTGTTGTAAGCCATTCCACCACAAGTCACCATAAAAGTGCTAAATTCAAGTTGTCTGTCTGATTTGTGCGACTCTCAGTTGATCAATGATTGATAATTGACACTGTTAACAAAAATAGAAACCCTACAGAAAGCAATCTAAAACAAAAGTGGTCGGATTTTTCTGGTCAGGGTGTATAAATAATGAACACATTTTTACAAAGTTATGATAATGCACATTTCTCGAGAATAAAACTCCAAACAACCACATGTAGAGGAGCCATTTTACCAGCTCATTGCACCTTCATGTATGATGGTAGAAAATACTACTAATACTACTAATATGTCACATACAGCCTGTAACATGTAAGTCTTGGTCGACAGTGAATTATAGGATATTATTTTCAATGTTTGTACATTTTTTCATTGGTGTGGGATTGGGTAGGGACACGTCCCTATCAGTATTCAGCCCCTTCTGTATTGTCCTGACCAATATAAACACTGGCTGTTGGCGTCCGCTCAATATGGTACACAAAGGGTTAACAATCGTTGGTGTCTACCATACGTCCCACCTCTAATCTCGTATTGCTCATCAATTGGCTCAACCATTATTTTGATAGCGTGTGATTGGTCCTCCCCAGCGCCGCTCTCTCCACTGACTGTGGGTGCGCGTCACTGTACAGTTCACGGCAGTTCGTGAGGGAACGACACGCGTGTCACCGGAGCACCGAGTGTGAACGGTGAGTCGGTTGGTTCAGTAAATAAGCTAAAAAAAAAAATCGTATTTTCTGCCACCACTTGTTGATGTTAGACTAACTGAATGGCGTTCTTGGCAGCTCTTTGCTAGAGAATGAGATGCTAACGAGCTAATACTAGCTGAGCTAAGTTTGGCAACTATTAGATCAATATTATATGCCAGAGAACATGAAATTCCACTTCAAATGCTCCATCAGCAATCATAGATGTCATGTAGTGATGACACAGTTAAAATTAATGTTTGTAGTAAGATGACATGATAGAAACAGTCTGAATAAATAAAGTGTAAACACTATAAAAAATAGCTCCTTCAGTGACAGTCTTCAGCATCCATGGTGTGTGAAGGAGAGACTTAGGAGAATAGAGATCCACTGCTCCCAGTAAAAACACCAAAGCTGAGTCATATTCATGTAATAGATATTGGGTGTAAGTGCAACATTTTGCACACTGTTGTATTATAATGATTTTGGAGCATTTACATTTTTGTTGATTTATTTTATTTATGTTTAACATGATGAAGCTGACTAACTTGTGTTATGGCTGTTCTTTAGCCTATATACATTCAGATGTTGTTTAATGAATTACACAATTGTAAAACATACAGTATGTTTTCCTCAGGCTACAACAATCAAAATCTATGACTGTTGCATCTCAAATTGTCTCACTGTTCACATGTCTTGCATCGATATATATTTTGTCAGATGACGAGGAGAGAGACTGGAGGAGATGGAGGGGATGGAGGAGGAGAGGCAGGAAGAGAGACAGGGGGAGATAGAGAAGAGACAGGAGCCTCACAGGTGAGACTGAATCGTGAAGGATTTATATTGATAGTGAGATTCAGCATTGTGACTAGGGGTAAGTAAAAATATTGATTCATGCATAATACATGTTTTTACCCGATATCAATATCAATTCGGATCACTATTACCAACCCAACTGCAGACCGCAGGCTGGTACTGAAGTTAAGCCCCTTCAGAGTGTACTGTTGTTGTTATAGTTGACCCTGGGAAACACATACGGGCAGATGTGGTGAAGTATCAGTCTATATTCATGTAACTGATAACATTAGAGGACACATTAACCAAGACATTCTTGTATTTAGTGTAGATATCTAAATATGGATTATAAAACAGTGATAAGTTTCACATGAAGTGAAATTGCATTAAAAAATCATCAACGTACAGGTCGCCGCCATGGAGCACTTTTATGTCCCTACCAATGGGAAAATCAAACCTACGCCCTTGCATTTTTTATAACAAGATTACAGAGTATCCTTCACACCCCACGCCAGTGACAGTTTATTTCATCTCATATGATATGAAGCAGCCTCCTTCATTCATGGCTCCGATGATGTCGATCATTATTAAAACCCCTGACTCTTACGCATGAACAAGCTCAACACTGGAAAGGAAAACCCAGAGTTGACTGAATTTGCTGATAACCAGCTTTGTAGTACAAGTAATCCAGACGGGTTAGTCAACCCAAAAGCCTGTACTGTGAAGCAAGTTCAATTTACCCAGGATAAACACCATGAAAGTGCTAAATTCAAGTTGTCTGTGTGATTTGTGAAACTCTCAATCAATAACTGATAATTAACTGACAACGTCAACACTGTCACCAGAAATCAAAACCCTACAGTAAGCAATCATGAAGAAAAGCACAAATAAACAAACAAAAAAACAGCCATTCATACTTCAACATACAAACAATGCAGGAGGATGGTCAAAGATCCATAAGAGGTTCCCATGTTCTCAGGAAGACGACTAGTTTCTTCAAAATAGCCACCCTTTGCTCTGATTACTGCTTTGCACACTCTTGGCATTCTCTCAATGAGCTTCAAGAGGTAGTCACCTGAAATGGTTTCCACTTCACAGGTGTGCCTTATCAGGGTTAATTAGTGGAATTTCTTGCTTTATCAATGGGGTTGGGACCATCAGTTGTGTTGTGCAGAAGTCAGGTTAATACACAGCCGACAGCCCTATTGGACAACTGTTAAAATTCATATTATGGCAAGAACCAATCAGCTAACTAAAGAAAAACGAGTGGCCATCATTACTTTAAGAAATGAAGGTCAGTCAGTCCGGAAAATTGCAAAAACTTTAAATGTGTCCCCAAGTGGAGTCGCAAAAACCATCAAGCGCTACAACGAAACTGGCACACATGAGGACCGACCCAGGAAAGGAAGACCAAGAGTCACCTCTGCTTCTGAGGATAAGTTCATCCGAGTCACCAGCCTCAGAAATGGCAAGTTAACAGCAGCTCAGATCAGAGACCAGATGAATGCCACACAGAGTTCTAGCAGCAGACCCATCTCTAGAACAACTGTTAAGAGGAGACTGCGCAAATCAGGCCTTCATGGTCAAATAGCTGCTAGGAAACCACTGCTAAGGAGAGGCAACAAGCAGAAGAGATTTGTTTGGGCCAAGAAACACAAGGAATGGACATTAGACCAGTGGAAATCTGTGCTTTGGTCTGATGAGTCCAAATTTGAGATCTTTGGTTCCAACCGCCGTGTCTTTGTGAGACGCAGAAAAGGTGAACAGATGGATTCCACATGCCTGGTTCCTACTGTGAAGCATGGAGGAGGAGGTGTGATGGTGTGGGGGTGTTTTGCTGGTGACACTGTTGGGGATTTATTCAAATTGAAGGCACACTGAACCAGCATGGCTACCACAGCATCCTGCAGCGACATGCCATCCCATCCGGTTTGCGTTTAGTTGGACGATCATTTATTTTTCAACAGGACAATGACCCCAAACACACCTCCAGGCTGTGTAAGGGCTATTTGACCAAGAAGGAGAGTGATGGAGTGCTGCGGCAGATGACCTGGCCTCCACAGTCACCGGACCTGAACCCAATCCAGATGGTTTGGGGTGAGCTGGACCGCAGAGTGAAGACAAAGGGGCCAACAAGTGCTAAACACCTCTGGGAAATCCTTCAAGACTGTTGGAAAACCATTTCAGGTGACTACCTCTTGAAGCTCATAGAGAGAATGCCAAGAGTGTGCAAAGCAGTAATCAGAGCAAAGGGTGGCTATTTTGAAGAAACTAGAATATAAAACATGTTTTCAGTTATTTCACCTTTTTTTGTTAAGTACATAACTCCACATGTGTTCATTCAGTTTTGATGCCTTCAGTGAGAATCTACAATGTAAATAGTCATGAAAATAAAGAAAACGCATTAAATGAGAAGGTGTGTCCAAACTTTTGGCCTGTACTGTATCTTACTCAGATGTAGCAGGGTAACATACTTCCTGTGCATAGATTTATAATTCTGTGAAAACATTCTGACATATACAATTCCACTGATCATCTGTAAACTCACGACCCAAATCTTTCTGCCATACAGTCTTCAGTGGGACCAGCTATGATGTTCTAACAGAGAACTATAGATTGGAGATCTTCCTTTTTAATGACGTGGAGCTTTCCAGAATTTCCTCCATTCTTGACAACCCCAGGAAGAGTCGTCCTGCTCTTTTGAGAAAAGTAATTAAGTCACGAATTTGTAGGTATTTATAATATCCCTGTTTGGGAATTCCAAATTCTGTTCTGAAATCTACAAAAGATTTAAGAGAACCTTCAGTAAACAGGTGCTGAAACAGGTGTATACCATGTTCTTTTCACTTTGTAAGCAGGGACTTCTCAATTTACCTATGGCTAAGCCCCGCCCTCAAACACGATGAGCCAATCACAGTGCACATAGACATTCCCATACACTGGGACATTCTCTGCCTGGATGTCCATTGAAATGCATTACAGAAAGTCAGTTTTGTTCGGTTTTATGAGCATTTTAAGAGATTTGAAGTTTAAAAATGGTCAAACGGTGTGCATGGGATACATGCAACTCTGACACAAGGTATCCTGAGAGGCTGGGCGACGAGGTGTATTTTTTACACTTTAAACCACATCTCAACCGAGAAAAGTGTCTCCTTTGGATAAAGTTGTGTGGTAACTAGGGCTGGACGATTAATCGAATTTTAATCGTGTGCAGTATGTAAGTTCCTGTGCTGGAAAAGCACCGTGAATGCACCTGTGTTACGTGCAGCAACAGCAGCAAGCATGTGACGTGTGTGGATCAATAATATGTGGAGCGAGCGATTGAGAACATGGCAGAAAGGCAGCCTTTGGTTGAGAAGAAAGGTAGGACAACTTCAGTCATCTGGAAACATTTTGGCTTCAAGTTGACGGACGTCGAGCAAAAAGAAATTGTTTGCAAAGTTTGTCACGCTGTGGTGTCTGCCCCCCAAGGCAACACGACCAACTTATAATCATGTTTAATAATCGTGATTTCAATTTTTGCCATAATCGTCCAGCCCTAGTGGTAACGTTAGACCACAACATCAACTCAACGTGAATAAGATTAACAATGATGTCTACATCTGTCCTAAGGTAAGTCAACATTGTGTTTGAGGCAACATATTGTCACTTTGCTGGAAAGAAATATAAAGTTATCTTTAACATCTTTAGCTAACGTTAGCTAAAGTTAGCCTAACGTTAGCTCCTAGCTGCGTTGTTCATCATGTCACCTTGTTTGCTGGGAGTTCATTAGCCTATTTTGTTCTAGTTTTGTACTTTGGTGATCGTACATCATTGTTAGCTGTTGTCCAAAGGGCTCTAGTTAAGCTAACGTTAACTTCTGGAGCTTAGCTTCATTAACTTATCTGTAATGGCAGAGATAACAAAGGTTGGCAAACGTTATGCTGAATGATTCAGTGTAAATACTGTAGCACCAAACTAACGGAGAGACACTCTTGGTAAAGATGGTAAAAAGGCCGTTATCCTTTTCTCATATTCTGAGCCAAAAACCTTAACTTCAGTGGCACTTTAACTTGTTGTCTTTGATGGTGACGGCAACCAGATGCGGTTCACAAGCGTACACTGTGACCTGTAAATTTTGGCTTGTAATTTAAGCTTTTCATCGACCTTCTCAACAATAAAATGATGAATATATCCCTCCAATGCGTAGTTTAGGCCCTTTTGGTTACTTCTCAATGACANCTTTTGGTTACTTCGCAATGACATCTGATCGTTATGTCCCCAAAAATCATCAATTGCCTCCTGCGAAATGCCGTGTACTGTGACACCTGCCATAGCGGCGGTCCGAGTGAGTGGAGGGGGCGTGGCTTAGCCATAGGGCAATTGAGGGTGGCAGGTCTGGTTCGGAGGATAGAGGAGATTCCAAGACCAGATCCACAAAGTTTCTTTACATCCTGCCACGCCCCAAGAGTGTTGTGAATTGCATAAGTTCTTAAGACTGAATGAAGGTCATTTATATTAATGATAAATGATAAAGAGGTTAATGAGGTAGGAAGGCATAGTTCTTAACACCTCTGTTATAGGGAGCACTCAAGCCTTTGACAACATTTACACCACAACCTGACTTGCAGCTGCAGCGCACAAACTCCAACAAGGACCAAGGAACAGAGTCCTGGTCAAAATGGACGGGAGTAAGGCATGAGTCTTGGATCCTCTGGCCCTATTCGTCTAGTAGAGGTAAGTTTCCCTTCCTGAACCTGATGGTAAACTGAAGCTGTAACACATTGCAGTTTTACACCGATCAGCCAAAACTAACAGTCATTTTATCAATGTGCAATGTTCTGCTGGGAAACCTTTGGTCCTTGTATTCATGTGGATGCCCCTTAATGCACTCCACCCCCTTAAACATTGTTATAGACAAAGTACCACAGATTATTGCAACAGTACCCCTGATGGTAGGAGCCCCTCAGCAATGCATTGCACCTTGCCCAACTGCAGAAACTGCTCAGGAATGGTCCAAGGAACATGACAAATTCCCCATATCCCAATCTAATCAAGCATCTGTGGGATAAAACAGTGCCCCAGTGATCCTTTGTCCAGGCCTCGACAGGTCAGAGCCAAGTCCGATCTATGATGGGGCCTCTGACCTGTCGAGGCCTGGAGACAGGACCTCTGGGGTTGTCTTGTGTTGTCTGGCACCAAAGCATTGTGGAGGGATCCTTTTAGTCCTGTGGGTCGTGAGGTAAGGTATCAGCATGCCCAATAGATGTTCAATCAGATTGGGATCTGGGGAATTTGGAGGCCAGGTTGACACCTTGAGCTCTTAGTCACATACCCCTGGTCATTTCTGAGCAATTGTCCTGTCCAGGGGGGCACACTGCCATTAGGGAGTGCCGTTGCCATGAGAGGGCGTGTTGGTCTGTAATGGTGTATGGGTGGGTGATGCGTGTCAAGTGGTGTCCACATGAATGCCAGGACCCAAGGTTCCTCAGCAGAACATTGGAGAGTAACAAAATGATCAATGTTATTCACTTCACCTGACAGTGGTTTTAATGTTCTGGCTGATCAGTGTAGATGTTGGCACATTGGTTGTGAGGGTGGAAAGCCGTTTTGCTGTAAGTCATTGTTTCTTATTGAGAGACTCTTTTTCTCCGTTATTTGTAGATCAGTGTCATTGCCCTTTCCCCTGCATCAGTAATTTCTTGGTACAGATTGACTGATCCTTTACGTTTATCCATCATAGGGCTGGGGCGTCTGACACGCAAAACATGCGTCGGCACATCACGTGACAGCTACCTCACTGAACTGATGCAGCTTACAGGCACTTTGTTAAAACAGCAGCAGACAGCACCGTCCTGTTCATTTCTTGTCTCCATCCAGGTATGATGCATCAGGATCATCAACACGCCAACATGTTTCTGTCAGCAGCAGTCACTTAAACTAAAGACAACATGATTTCACTCAGACTGTGTCACTGTGGAATGTTGAAACTTTGCTTTCAACCTTAAAAATAATGTTCCACTAAATCCATGAAGGTATACTTTTAATATATGATGCAGGACGATATTAAGATCAATAAAAACTATGAAACATTACTATTGCTATTTCTCCTAGGTTGGGCCTTTTTTGAGTCAGATTGACTGGACTATATTAGGAACAGTTATAATTTGGGTGCTTTTCGTCACAGTAAAGCAGACCTGGTTCACACCACAGCTGAGAAGGAGTTGTGGCGTTTGTTTTACACTACACGGAGCTCCAGTTCAGTGGTGATGGGTGGGGTTTACACTCAGCATAGAGAACAGGAAGGAGCAAATTAACAGTCACAGATTCATGCCTCTTCACTGAGGTTGAAACAAATGTAAATATGAATACAGTGTAAACCAGGTTTGCTGCAAGAACACATGATCAAACAGGATTACAAAAAGGGCCTATCATCGCAGCAGGAGAGTATCCACCTTATTCCTGAGGGCACTACTGAAGAAATGATTATGGTCACAACTTCCTGTGAGATAGAGGAAGTAGCGGTGAGCTAGTTAGTCCCATAGACTGTCTGTGGTTAGCCCCAGTGGCTACTCTGGGTGGCTAACCGCCAACGCTGGTTCTTTTATAAGTAATTTGACTCCAACAAATATTTAATGCACCTTTCTAGTCATCAGACCACTCAAAGTGCTCTTTACACTATGAGTCACATTCACACACATTCATACACTGGTGTCTTGGCTACCATACAAGGTGCCACCTGCTACCCAGTTTTTAACACACAGCAATGGAACAGCCATCAGGAGCAATTTGGGGTTCAGTATCTTGCTCAAGGATACTTGGACATGCAGACTGGAGGAGCCGGAGATCAAACCGCTGATCTTTCCATTGGTGGGTGACCCACTCTAATTCTGAGCCACAGCCACCCCTGTCCATGTCTGTAACGACCAGTCTGAGCTAAATTTTTGTCTTCAGCAACTGTGTGTTGAACATGTGACCAGAACAAAAAAGGATTGTTCCTGTTGCCATGGTTACCATTGATATGAGAAATAAAGTGTGATAAAGACTGACAGGTGCGTCACTCAGCGTCAGTACATGATATCCCTGTCTTTCCCCGTCTGACTTCAGTCTCAACCTACATTAGAAAATAAACTGTGAAATATGTGTTTAGTCGTTACTGAGGTCTGCTGCTAAATTCAGCTTCATGTTTCACTCAGAACAGTTTTTAATAAATCAGAAGTCAACAAAACGTGTAAACTGCGTGGTTAACGCAGACGAGCGGAGGATTAGCTGAGAAACATCACATTTATTCACTTTACATGGAGCTACAGTTAATACTGAATTATGTGCTAGTGTCTCTTAATAAGTCATCAGAAATCAGAAATCATCTTTAGAAGGAGCAGATGTTACCTTAAGCTGCTCGGGACATGTTAAAGTTAGTAATATTTTCACGGAGCGAGGTGAGCTAATTGCTAGCGTGCTCAGTTGCTTTGAGATGGCTGTCAGAGATGGCAGAGGTATGACCACATGATCCAGTTTGAGTTATAACAGGTGGTGTGTTCCACGTTTTATTTCCCAGTTGCTCTTGGAAAGAAGAATAGAGGACTGTAAACAAACTGTTAGTTTTAGAAATAAACGGTTTTGATTCAACGGCGGAAGTTGCGCAAACAATTCACACAAGGTATCATCGGGGCTTGGATTAAGGTGGATAGGTATCAGTGGGGCTCAAGGACGACAGTACAACCAACCATCTCTCCCAGTGCCGGACTTCAAGTTTTCTTCACCTCTTCTTTTGGTCTGAAACACAAACTGTTAAAGAATTTAAGACACAAAATCCCAGACACCCTGTCAGTCTGGGAAACATCTCTTTACTTCAGATTTCAGGTTCCGAGGTTCCCAAACCGGACCCCTTCCTCTCCCTGGCCAGGCCTCGAGATCCTGTCCATGAACATCACAAACAGGATCAGTGACAAGGGACAACCCTGGTGGAGGCCAACGCCCACGAGAGTGTGCTCTCACTTTGGTCGTGCAGGGATCGAATGGCTTGTAGCAGCCAGCCCGGTACCCCGTAATCCCGCAGTACCCCTCATAGGACTCCCGTAGAGACGCGGTCATAAGCCTTCTCCATGTCCACAAAGCACATGTAGACTGGATGAACAAACTCCCACAACCCCTCAGCAGCCTCGCAAGGGTAAAGAGCTGGTCCACTGTTCCACATCCAGGATGGAATCCGCATTGCTCCTCCTGAAGCCGAGGTACAAAAATCAGTAGGAGCCTCCTTTCCAGCACCCTGGAGTAAACTTTACCCATGAGGCTGAGCAGTGTGATACCCTGATAGTTGGAGCACACCCTCCGCTCCCCTTCTTTGAAAATGGGAAGGTGTAGGCTGCAGGTGTTTCAAAGGAAACGCAGGAAAAACTCAAACTGAATCCAAATGTAATGTTTTTATTGACCTTTATTATAATAATGCTGAAGGACTACAGAGTCAGTGCTCATGTAAAGCTGNAGGAAAAACTCAAACTGAATCCAAATGTAATGTTTTTATTGACCTTTATTATAATAATGCTGAAGGACTACAGAGTCAGTGCTCATGTAAAGCTGTGTGGAAGACTTCCAACCACATTGTTCAGTATGAAGGGCAGAGGAACAACATCTGTGTAATCCAGGTTACTTAGCATGCAGCACAGAATAAAGACATGAACACATGTAAAATGTATATTGGTCAGATTTGGCAAAGCTGATGGCAGCACCACCCACCCTCATCCAAGGATACAAGAAAACTATTTCTCACAGATCCAGTTCTTAGACTCATAATATAAACTATGTGTCCATTGTCCTTGGTCACTGCAGCATGTTGCAGCGTGCTGGTGTATGTCAGAGGTTGGTAGTTCTGGTGCCCAGAACCTGGAGGACAAATTAAATGTTGTCTTTTTAAACAGGGCTGAAACAACTGATTATTTTCAATTTGAAGCAAACTGTTGAATTTTACTTGAAATATTGCTTTTATACAGTATAATGTAAACAGTAGTATGGTAATATAGAGCTGGTTCATCAAGCAGCTCGACACTTCCTCACAGGTCCTATCATCTGATTCAGTTTCTGAAGACCATTAAAAAACACACACATTGATACCAATTAAAAAATCTTTTGTTTTCATTCTACTTTTTAAAGCGTACTTATTTTAGTGACAGACAGTAACTTGGGTAGAGACATGATTGAAGCAAAAAATCTTTCAGGTGTCTTACGTTTCTGTCAGCGGTGATCCATCCACCCATTCATATCTATCTATCGATGTTTCCCGTAGACCAATCCAGGACTCTCCACGCACATTCAGCTCAGTGACAAACTTCTAGTCATTGACAAGAGACAAAAATCAGCCACAGCTAACAGAGTCAGAGCAGGTTGAAGTGCAGACACTTTACTAGAATCAACAGTCGATGAACACTCACCTGTTCCTCTTTGTTGTTTATGATCACCAGATCTGCTCCTCTCTGCTGACAGTCAGCTCTGCTTTGTCCCCAATTTTTCTTCTCATCAGATTGAAAGTAACAGCTGCATCCAAATCTGCTCCATCCATCAGGACACCACTTCCCTTAATGTCAAACAAGTGTTTTAAAGAGAGATTTCACTTCAGTACTGTC